TTATCTTTAAGTTGCAAATTCTTAATTCTGCTTACTACCAAATTATCTTCATTTGACAGAATGCAAACTAGTTCTTTCTCGATGAAAGGCCTCAGAATTAACACGCCGATGCTTATTCAAACGTTGTTATTGTTGCGTGTTGCATGTACTCATACTGATCGATGATTTGGGGTGTATCCAAAAATATAAGTGAGTAGGGACAGACGTAATATTTCAGATTTTGAGGAAGGATATGCATGTATAATTTGAAATTTTTGGGAGAGCAAAGTACAAATTTTAACAAAATTTGCATACAAAACTAAAAAGTTAAAAAAAAATAATAATAATAAAATTGGGGCGTTCATCTACCCCTTAAGAAGGTATGGCTACACCCTGTCATTGACTAAGGTGATATTACCTGATTACCATCTTTAATTTTGTTATAGATATAATAATTTTGCATTTTGACAACCTTCTTTCCTTGGAAGTTGGAAGCAGGTTACATATATACTTACATGCATATAATTATAAGACATTGATGGTATAATGTGCGAGTTTAATAAGATGGCGTAATTGGTGGTGGAGTTTGTATTTATTTACATCCCGATAAAATTAGGGCTCGTTTGATTTGTGGGTTCAAATCAGTGATTTTGATTTTGCATTCAAATTTTGTGAGAGTGGAAAATTTTTAAATTCAAGTTTTTTATGAGAAAAAACATTGTAACAGAATCAAAACTAAGAATTAGAACCCATAAAATAAACTAAGCCTAAGAATAGTGTAATCAAGTAATCGAGGTAAAAAGATGTCAGAAAGATTGAAAAATGAAGGAGATCTAGGAAGAAGTTCAAAAATTTGACAAGGAAATCCTTAAGAAAGCTTCAAAAATGGAAGAAATCAGAGGTTTTAAAGAAATTTTTGCAGAGTATCGGCAGTTTTTTCAAAATAAAGTGATGAAAGACTCATTTGGGAACCGCTCTTTATAATGAAATGTAGCCTCGACCCTAAATTGTTGGATGAAATAACTGTTCATCCAACGGTGGAGATGAAAAGTCGTGGTCCAACGTCGAGGACATAAACGAGAAACTAAAAAGACACGATCCAACGGCCTAGATTCATCCATTCAAAATAGAGAAGTAACGTCTGATATGTTGATTTGATCAATGTGACTGTTGCCTTGCTCAAGAAGCATCTTCTGCGTCAGAACCATCATTGCCTAGAGAGGCTTAGGGCTAGAATCCTTCAGACGCAAACAAACTCAGGGGAGGAGAGTCAAGGCGTAAACCCGACTTGGTCAAAGCTCGAAGCAATCCAGAGGAAAGCCTCGACTTGGGGGGAAAATGTTGTAGGGCAAAATTCTGAACCCTAAATCAGGCATTGAATGAGGCCCATGTATCATGAACAAGGGCATTAAGTGATCGAGGACAACTCAGCTTTAGCCACCACGTCGGATGGCAACTCTCTTAGGAGCAGACCGCTAGTAAAGGGTGTGACATACATAGGATGTCGACCGCTTTGAGGAGATGCAAAGGACAACATGAAGTTGACCGCACCAACAATTGTGGGCAAAGATGGTTCTGGGAGCGCTTATGAAGTCGAGAGATATGTGGGATTTGCTCCGAGATTTGCTATTTTTAATTCAAATATACGAAGTTTAAGCAATGAAATTGTCATGATTGATTGTAATCTCTATTTTTTGGGAAACTATCTCAAAAGATGAGGGTAATATCCCCGAATTAAATAGGAAAACCAGCAGGGACAATGGTCAACGATATAAATAAGGAATTGTAGGTCAAAAGATCCCCAAGTTTCATTCAGAGCAATTAGCGTGTAAAATTCTCTCTAAAGAATAGTGAACTCTCTCCTCCCCACAGTGAACGTAGCTCTTGGGTCAATGGTGAATCACTATAATTCTTATGTGTTCTTGCTTTTTAATTACTTTTAACAGTGATTTTGATCATAAAAACTCTCACAAACCATTTTGAAACTTGTTATATTTCTGTTGACGAATTTTCACCGTCAACAGAAGATAAGATGGGAGTTTGCAAAATGTGATTTCGTTTTGTGAGATGAATATTTTTCCACTACGTGTATTATGTATAAGAGAAATAAACGGTACGGTTATGATCATGAGTTGTAAACAGATTGACACAACGGGGAATATAAGGTGACTGTGAATTGAAAACCAAGCCTCAAATGGGCATTCATTAGGTTTTGGCCAAAGCAGAGAAAGACAAAGAACGAGTATTGGGGTTAGCTTGTCGGAATTTCAAGCTCCTTCATTGTTTTAATTAAGAATGTGATCAGACTCATCCGCACGACGTGGCCGTCCTTTTGCTTCACTTTGTTTATTCCTCGCTCTAACAGAATTCCCTAATTACTCTTTATTATATTAAGGCGAAGACTCCCCACGTTCTTATACATAAGTCTTTTTATCATGTCATGTGTGTGTATATATATATATATTATATATATATATATATACGCGTTGGTTTTTCTTCTACGCATGCCCTTGTTCTCGTTGGGTCTAAATTAGCATAATTATTTTCTGTTTAGAGACTAATTAATCGTACAATTATTAGATCTTAGAGAGTTAGACGCTAATCAGCCATTGTGGATGGGTCTTAAGGCGTCTAAACGCAGATGAAGTTTTCGGCATTATTTTAATTCAAAACTGCATGAACTTGGCCTTACCATGAGTTGTACTTGGCCTGGTATTGGCCCCACAGTGGACTCCTGAGTTCAGTTACAGAGAATTGGGACCTACCCATGGAACAATGATTGGGAATAAATGGTATTTACAATTCAAGTCAATCCTTCCTAACATTCCTTTTTGTGAGGGTTGGAATCCTTGCTAACATTCCTTGTAAGAATTGAGTATAGGGTAATTCTTAATTACATGAGTGACATAGAATATTGTTAGTAGTTAAAATTCAAACCCTAAGAATAAAAAGTAATGGAAATTGTATATTTACAGCCTTTTTATATTGAGGGATCTCGATGATGAAAAATGTTATTGTTGAATATTTTTTGGTGATTTTTTTTTTTTTTTTGCATTTTTATATTGTCCTATCTATTAGTACCAAATTTAGTAATTATTTTTTTACTAAGAAATACATAATAATTCATTTTTAGGAAAAAAATAAAGAAAATACATCACATGCAAATATCAATCATATCAAATCTATTCAAATCAACTCAAACTCCTAAAATCGCTCTATCCACCTATACACCTATTCAAATGATAGGGTAAGAATCTTAGCATATCCAAATAAAAATGTCTCAATAATTTAAATTATGTAAATTGATTTAATTTAAAATGCCCCACTCATCGGTCATAGACTTTCTCGCTCCTATTTTCTTCTTCTTTCATCTTTTCATCTTAAACTCTAGCATTTTTGGGAATGAGCTGTTCATTTCACCGATTCAAGTTTAGAATTTGAGTTTTGCTATAGTAAAAAGCTTTCAGAAATAGTCACATCTAACTTTTTGCTACAGTAAAAAGCTCTCACATAAAATCACATCTCAACTCGAATTAAAAACTCGAATCAGCGAACTAAACGAGCCTTAAGATCTCTCTGCTCTAAGATTTTTGTTTCCCTTTTTTGTAATCGTTTTTGTATATTAAGACAAGTATATGTCCACTTAGATCTCAATCTATAAAAGGTCATGTAATGAGTTTTGTTTAATCAAATCTTGATTTAATTGTGGTTTCATATTTTATTTAAGGAAACCTCTACGGTGAGATCACTTAAAAATCTACTGATGGAACACTATGTTTTAATTGTTAGATTAAGTTCTCAACGGTTAGCTCTGAGCAAGTCCGTATTAAAAATTTATAGCGGCCACACATAACTGCTCCCTCTGCAGATCTAACCACTAAAAAAGTAATCTAACAGCCAAACAGGATGTTCCATCGGTAAATGTTTTTAGGGAGGGTCCACCGTAAAGAAAGCCTTTATTTAATTGTTCTGATGTGCTTTTATGTGATCTTTTAATAAAGATGTAACTTCTAAAAGCTAGGTTTAGAAGTTTTTAGGCAGAAAAGTATCAAAATCAACAAGCGATTTACATTTTATCCATCAAAATAACCCACTGCTGGAGACAATCAGACATCAATCATTTGAAGGAACGAAAGATTTATTTCTTTGCAGAATTATGACACACCAATTGAAAAGAGTGTACGAAGTCATTCTTGCTATTTAGTTTAACCAACAAGGCTTGTTTAGACAACATTTTTTACCGTGAGACTCAAAAAAATCTTTAGCAGTGGAACCCCTACTTTTAACCATTAGAATAATTTTTCAAACAGTCAGATCTGAAGCGATGTGCTGTAAACTTTTAATACAGACCTGTATAGACCTGACTATTAAAAAATTAGTCTAACGGTTAAAAGTAAGGATTTCACTGAGGATTTCACCATAGAGATTGTTTTTTTAGACATATGGCAAAAATTTTACTAGTCATTTTGAAATACAACAAAAAAATTATAATATTTTACAAATAGCAAAAAATGATATTATTGAAATAATTACAATTTTGTAGAATAAAACATGGATATTATCATAAAAATTATCATGTAATTTTACTATTTTGACATTTTAAAAAAAAAATTGTTATTTTCAACGCCATTCTCAAAAATTTGCGATGTGGTGTAATTTTCACGTAAGTATTTTACATTATTATAAACGATGTTTAATTATATCCATCTCGGTATTTCTAATAGATGTAGTAGATCTAAAATATAATCTATCTTTGATCTAATAAAAATACCACCTATGTTAAAAGAAATAAAAATATTAAAAAAAATATTAATAACCCCTTGGCCCCACTAGGTCCCGCTTTGTCAGTTTATTATATAGTGTATGCATTCATAAATCAGCTATAAATACGCCCAACTTTGGGTTCTCTTCAGGCACGCATCAAGATTTCTAATTAAAGCACTAGCTATCACTAGAAAAACAGAACTTAACTACCCCTCTCTATTTCTCCAAAGACTTCTCAAGTGCACAGAAGAACATCAATGGAGTCTATTGGAGCTTTTCCGGAAGGAGATTGGGAGTCTTTTAGCAGAATGTTCTCCGAGGATCTTGACTTCACACCTCACTTTCTGGGTCAGTGTTCATTTCCCAATTCTCACTTTGGCCAATCTTCTTCATCATTTTGCCCCAATATTTCTCGTGATCATGATCAAGCCAACACTGAGAGCCTATTTCACACATTAGATTCCCTCAACTCTAATCTCCAATACCTTTCTCAAGAAAGTAGTTACACCAGTACTTCCGCGACTCAGGAGAGTTATTACTTTAGTGATTCTTGTCACATTCCGGTGACAAATGATGTTTCATTGCCTATTTTCCTTACGGATCATGAGAAGAACAATGTTGATGGGTCATACAATATCCCTGCATTGAGTGACATTAATGTAATCATGGGTGAAGCTTTCTGCAATGTTAAGGAAGATTATGGTAATCATCGTAAAAGAATGTCCGATGCAGCGGAACTGGACAAAATCAACCCCGAATCACCGCCGAACCCGAAGAAGAAAGCCAGGGTTTCGAGCGATGTAAGTTCAGTTAATGCTGTTATATGTTTCAATGACTTTGTTTTTAAGGAAAGTTTTCTAATTAATCGTGTCACCATTTTTTTTTTTCCTTTTAAAAATGCAGGCTCAAAAGAATAAGAAAAATGTGGAGTGGCCAAAGAAGAGACAATTAAAAGTGCAGGCTCCAAATGGCAAAGAGGAAGAGAACAACACCGGAATAGATGGACAGAGCACTAGTAGTTACAGCTCAGAGGATGACAATGCTTCTCAAGAGAATAACGGCGGAGCGATTTCGGACACCAAGTCGTTAACGGCTGTTAATTTGAGCGGCAAGGCCAGAGCCAGCAGAGGCTCTGCCACCGATCCCCAAAGCCTATATGCAAGGGTACAACTATAATTAGTTCATCACCTTCAAAAATAATAAGAATGCAGTAATACATTCTTGAGCAAGTGCTCAATTTATAATAGAATGTGTCACTAATTCGTTATTGATTAAATCTTGCAGAAAAGAAGAGAGAGGATTAATGAGAGATTGAAGATCTTACAAAATCTTGTCCCCAGCGGAACAAAGGTTAGTGATATTTAGTATCCTAATCTAATAATCTAACTGTTCTTATCTAAGACATATGATCAAAATCTAATACTGATATGTTTCATAAAAATATGTCACAGGTAGACATAAGCACAATGCTTGAAGAGGCTGTCCATTATGTGAAATTTTTGCAACTTCAAATCAAGGTGAGAAATTAAACAAACGTGAAAAAACAAAAAACAAAAAATTTGCAAAATTTTGATTTTTGTTTTTATACATTGTTACTAATTCATGTGTTTTATTTTTGCTTGTAGCTTTTGAGTTCCGATGATCTATGGATGTATGCTCCGATAGCTTATAATGGAATGGATATCGGCCTCAACAAGAAGCTTTCTGAACTTGTATGACATCAGATGGAAGCTGTTGTATTAATTTTTTTATAATTTTTAAATGTCAAATTCAATCAGTGCTATAAAAAAACGAAATGAGAGGAAAATGTTTTTATTTTGTTACTTTAATGAGTATAAGTTGAGAATCACGAGGAGAATCCCCAGTATTTTCTAATGTACACGTCATCTACAATATGGAAATAATACTAATTTATAACTTCCGGCCAATGCATTATCTACGTATACCAAGCAAAAATCGAGTATTTCTTCCAACACTATTTGTGTATACGGTTTGGATTTTTTTATACGAATATATTTAACTTAGAAAATTAAAAGGAATACGCTTCTTTGATTTCCTTTTATATAATTATTTTCCTGTCTGTTAAATTTCTCTCTTAAATTGAGCCCTTCTTAATAAGAATACTGTTTAAGAAAGATAATAAACCTTGGAAATGATCAATTTCCAAGGTTTGGTAATGCAGTTTCTCTCGATCTCTTCATGCATATTAATATGTATGTCCTTAACACGAGAGTACATAATTCATACGTGTGATCTTGGAAATGATCAATAAATAATATTTGGATAAAATATATAATTAGTAGCACTTTTTCACAAAATTATTTGGACATTTTAGCATCTAACTATATAGTACGTAAGAGTTTTAAATTAATAATGGCTGGATTTGACTTAACAGGTGTAACACGTATTCAGGTTTGTAGAAAAATATATATTACTAATTAATTAAAATCTGGCTAATTTAACAAGGTTTGACTACAAGAGTGGGAGACATGATCATTTCATAATTAGTTAAGAGTTTACACGTTTACTTGTACATACAACTATTCTTCCATATCTAATATTCAGCAAAAAAAAAAAAAAAAAAAAAAGGGACGCTCATGATAAACGAAGGAATGACTTCGATTAAATCTCAATTGCTATCCGTAATATAAATACGGTTTAAAATAAATTGATTTAATACAAAGAAGTTCAGCTCAGCGTGCAAAAAGGAAAAGATCTTTGATCATGATAATATTTGTGCAGTAATATGAAAACGATTATTCCCGCAGGAATTTCATGATTGAACAGAATGTTGTCGAGCTATGCATAAAGGGTTATGATAATAATGTTATTTATATATGCATGTTAACACACATTTATAGGCATCATAAAAATACATGAAAAAAGTCGGAAGAAATATTAGTGCCTTGAAGTGAGATATATTCAGTTATACTGCACAATTTGTCCTTTTGTACCCTATAAACGTTTTAAAGTTGTTGAAGAGTTCGTTATAAAAGAGCACTAGTTGACCTTTCATTCCGATCCTGGGCAAATATCATCCATAGGCCAATTGGATTTGGTCGTTGTTGCTGAATATCTAGCTTCTATCTTAAAATGTCCGAGTCATACATCATTTAAATACAAACTTAATCACAGCTATACAAGAATATTGAGAAATCTCACTTAAACAGGTTATCCTAAAGTCTAATACCTTATAAAGTGCAATTCTTCTCCGTGACTTTTATTCTCAAATTCTAATATGGTTTCAGAACTCATTACTTAAACGAGCTGGGTCGATCCATCAAAACAAGATTAGTGACTCCTAGCGGAGCATAATCTTACAGGAGCGTATTAAGGGTAAAATGCACGAGTCTCACATCGTCTAAATACAAACTTAATCACACTCATATAAGAATACTGAACCACCCTACTTAAATAAGTTAACCTTTTAATATAGAAACTCAATATCTTATAAAGTGCAATTCTTTTCCCTCAATTTTCTCTTCAAATTCTAGTAGTATATTGGAATGTAAATCTGGATCCTTAATACGGTACTTATATTCTCATTAAAGTGTTAGATTTGTGGGGTGGTCATGAAAGAAAGTTAATTTCATTGGTGCAGATTGTGAACTTTCAGTATTTGACAACTTACACTTCGAATTTTTAATTTTGACAGATAACATTTTAAATTTTAAAATTTGTAGCGATTGTGGTTAAATAACTAATGGATGTCAATCGATAGCCGGAAATTGTCCAAGATTTTTAGACAAATGCATCCTTAACTTTTCATTGCCAATTAGACCCTGATTTTTTTAAAATTTTGACATTGTGGATTTTGATTGTAATCCTTTAATTGACGTTCGTTATTGATTGGGTTGTATTACTAAAGATATTAAAGTTTAGGGTCTAAAATGTTAAAACCAAAAATTTACGGTGCAATATGCAGATGATGATATGCTTAAGGTACATGGACGCAATTAGTATTGTATGACTTTTTTACTATTAATAAAAAGGAGTGTGTGATCAATAGGCCTTCTTTGTACATATATTGTGATTTTTACCATGTTAATGAGTGTTGTAACAAGTGAAACATTCATTAGTTGTTCTGTTTCGTTTTAGCTTTTTATTGAAGTATATCCTTATTGAAGGATATCCTACAAGTAGTGTATGTTCACGAATGTTTTGCTTTTTGTTTTTTGTTTTGTTTTAAATAAATATCTGATTAAAATCATATTAAAATAAAAAATAGTTAAAATTATACAAATGTTATCATTCAAAACAGAAATATTCTATTATTTTTCTCCCGTATCATACCATAAAATTTTGATAGTTTTCTCCCCCTTCTAAGGGGTGGTTTTTATTTTATTTAATCAAGAAACGAGGTTATAGTTACCAATAGAGAAACGAGGTTATGGAGAAATCTTTTATAAAATCTTTTGTTCTCTTCTTTTATTTTTATTTCTTAAATGAAAAACTTAGATTGAGAGTTTAAACTCCAGGCTAAGGAAGGTAGAAGTGCAAACTTACCTTTTCATATTAGTCTCTTTTTTGTTATTGACCTTTCCAATTATAATTACCCATTTATTAAAGTAGACCAACTCAAGCAACTTAAATAAAAAAAAGGGACGATTTTGAATAAAACAATATTGATTTTACATTAAATTCAACATCATACAAAATAAATAAACTTATTAGAAAGATTAATTTTATTTTTCTGCCATTTTTGGTCTCTCTTTTACCTCATCAAAAATTTTAGTGTGCTCATCAAATTCACCAATCCGTTCAATCCTCATAATTCAATATAATCTGACGAATTAGATTGGATTGATAAAATTTTAGACTCGGATTGAGATTTTTTCAATCCGCATTAATGGATTGAATTGTTGATTGAGAAATTCTCTATCTGTATAATCTGACAATCCAAATTATATATACTATATTTTGTATATATTTTTAATAATAATATATAAGAGATTTTTTTTTAAATTGTATATATACATATTTAACTATAAATGTATATTATGAGTAGTGCTGGAACTTTGGACGGGCCGCCCGCGACCGCCCGAAAAGCCCGAGGATTTGCCCGAGCCCGAACCCGACCCGCCCGAGATTTTGGGGCCGCCCGCCCGAGCCCGAATTTCACCTTGAACGGGTATTTTTCTCCCAGTTTTGGTCTCTCTTTTACCTCATCAAAAATTTTAGTGTGCTCATCGAATTCACCAATTCGTTCAATCCTCATAATTCAATATAATCTGACGAATTAGATTGGATTGATAAAATTTTAGACTCGTAACGGATTGAGATTTTTTTAATCCGCATTAATGGATTGAATTGCTGATTGAGAAATTCTCTATCTGCATAATCTGACAATCCAAATTATATATACTATATTTTGTATATATTTTTAATAATAATATATAAGAGATTTTTTTTAAATTGTATATATACATATTTAACTATAAATGTATATTATGAGTGGAAAAGAGAAAGACTGAATGTTATACTGCATATCCAAATATAAGGCCCAACCCAACTCATTTTAGATTTTTAGTAGAACAGAACAGAACCCTAATCAATCATGACGCCGCATCCTCTATTCATTCTCTACTGTCTTAAATTTTATGTTAGATTTTGTGTTGTAATGGATTGTGAAACTATTTAAATTTTATGTTATGTTTGTGTTTAATTTTGTATTTAATTTGATGAGAATATCTAAAATATAAGTCAATTTATGAATACGCATAATTCAATTTACAAAATTCAGATTGGATTAGATTAGGAGGCTCACAGCTAATGAATAGGCTCACAGTTAATGAATTGAGATTTTTTTCAATCCGCATAAACAGATTGAATTGCATATTGATTCTTAATCCGCATAATTCGATCGGTGAACACCATAATCAAATTTATTATTTTCTTTTTATGATTATTTTTATAAATGTCATCTGATCTATACCCTATTTAATATACCCTTTGATTTTTGAAAATCGTTCAAAATACCCCATACTGTATAGAAAACAGTTCAAAACACATTTTCGGTTTAATTCTGTATATTCTCTTAACTCATCTGATGATGTGGCATGTCTTTAAGAATTAAATAAAGCCATTAAAAATGATTTATTGACATGACGTGTATTAAAAATTAATTAAAATCATTACTATTATTCACACACAAAAAAAAAGATTTAAGTATTAAAGTATAACAATAGAAAAACTTTAAAAAAAAAAAATTATATTCTCTTTCTTTCCTTTTCTCTTTTCTCTCCCCCTCTCTCTCTCTCTCTTCCTCTTCTCTGTCGCAAGAAATACGTTTAATTCTTGTTTCAAACACAAAACCCAAACATCACTGACACAACAAAATCACCAAATTCATTTTTTTTTTTCAGGGAAATCAAATTCAGATTCAATCCCACTAAAACATGCGTATACATGGCGATGTAATCCCAACCCTACAAACCCTAATCTTAGAATCCCCAAATCTTCAAATCCAAAACTCCATCGAAGCACCTGTGGAAGCTCGACCAAAACGAAGTCGAACCAGAGGGATTCATGATCTGGGTTGCGAGGGGGCGCAAAGGGGAGGGTGCAAGTTGGGGCTGCAATGAGATCTGGCTTCGCGTGCGGATGAGGGCGACATGGCATGGGCTGCACGGCTGTGGGGGTGGCAGGGGCTGGGTCGTAGAAGGGCGGGGTCGGAAGGCATTGGAGGGGCGGCGGCCGACGAGGCTTAGGTTTTTTCCAAACGAAACCCTTGTTTTTATTTTGGACGTATTTGGGTGAGATTGAATTTGGATATGTTGCTTTTACTGGTTTGAAGGTGATTGAGCTTTTAAGACGTGACTTTTAGGAGAACTTATACCAGTAATAAAAAAAAATTAAATATAATTTTTTATGAAAATTTTTAATTATAATAAAATTAAAATTAAAAACTTAAATTAGTAAAATAAATTAGATTTTAATATAAATTTGACAGTTATTTAGGAGACGTTTAGTTGGAGGATTCAAATTATGATTTGAATCATAATTCATGATTCACTATAGTGTTTTCTCTTAAAAAAAAATACACGTAAATCAAAAATAATTTTAATCACATGATTTTAATTCATGAATCAAATGTCTCCTAGTATGCACTTTCTTCTTTTCTGAAGGATTAGTCTGTACTTTGAGAGGTAGAGGAAGAAGACATTTTATGAAAAATAATTTGTTGATTTATTTATTTTTTAATATTAAATTATATTTTTATAGCCAGGTTCAATCACAATTTAATATCTTAAGTTAATCTTAATGAGATACAATCGACTTTTAATATTTATTTTTTATTGCCACGTATTCACTTTCCGACCATTAAATACACGAAACTGGATGAAAAGAGAATTTAACATGTTTTTTTTATAGATCGGGAGTATTCTAATTTATTTTACAAAATCAAAGAGCATTTTAAAACAAGAGCATTTACAAAATAATCCTTCTACTTAACATACAAAACCCGCGCGTAAATGAAACGGTTGATCGGTTCTTTTGTGGTGGGACCCTTCTTCCCCTACTTGAAATGAGCAGGTTAGATCTGTAATTTCACGACTTCCTAGCCGCAAAGAGTCCCATCGATGATCGAATTGGAAATGTAACGCGACGGCAGTTCGAACCCTCAAAACCCCTCTTCTTCGGACACAAATACAATAATAATGTCTGATGATATAGTTTAGTCACCGACCCAAATATCTGAACGGAGCGCGCGTTTCCTTCGCTCTCTTTGTGGCCATGGCCGCGGTAGAGCAGCCTCCAAAGAAGCGGAGGCTATACGAAGCAGTCCAGCAAGAACCAGAGCCAGAACCAGCGCCGCCACAAACCCTAGTCACACCGCAAAACGCCGCCGTTTCGCCTCCGCCGTCGCAGGAGGAAATTCTCAAGAAGCGGAGGAATAGGGAGGAGATTCGGAGCGTCTACGACTGCTACAAGCGAATTAAGTTTTGCCTCTCGCAGAAGAAGGAGTCTTTTATCGCTCCCGACCTAGAACAGGCTTATCTCTCCCTCATCACTGCTTCTAGAGGTCCGTCTTGCTTTTCGCCCTTTTGGTCCAATCGTGTTTCCATTAATTCGCGAACTCAAAATCTAGGTTTGATACTGCTCTAAGTATTAAGTTTTAAAAATTGCTTGGGTTTTTCTTATCTCGTGAAGTAGAATCTGATTTTTGATAAGCTTTTGTGAAATTTGATAAAGTATATTTCGTGTTTTGAGATTCTAGTAGCTGATTTTTACTGTTTTTTTTTTTTCTTTTTGCGTGGAAATGGTGAATGGAATTATAATTTAGCTTTTTAAAAACAAATTTTAGTTCGTTTAAAGTAAAATTCCTAATTTCATTAGGAACTTTGGGGAATTAGGGTTTTGGCTTTGCCGTTTTTTATGTGATAATTGCATTTCCCACTGTTATAATGCCTTAAATTCTTATACTGATTGCGAAATGAAAGACTGGATAGTAACTTTCCTATGCATTAGAATCGAGTAGGTTCTCAAGTATAGTGTCAGAGACAACATCAGCACTTAAACTATTAAACTGCATATATATTTGCTTCCAGTTGATTTGTGCTAGGGTCCCATTAGCAAGAATATAGTCAAGAATGATTTGCAATGATTCAATCAATGAGATTTTTCACGCAAAACGTGAAAAAGAAGATAATATGCAGGAATATGTTTAGGTTTCAAATTATTTTTTCTTCAATGTGGTGACCTGCCTGCTAACGTTGTAGGTTCTACAAGCGTACAGCGCATTGTGGCTGACCTGATTCCTCGATATGCATCATACTGTCCAACTGCTCTTGAAGCTGCGGCTAATGTTGTCATCAACATGCATAATTGGAGCTTGGCCATGATAAATAGCGGAGAGGATGCTGAAAGTATTGCGTTTCAGACTGCTAGATCCTGTATTCTTGGCCTCTCTGATATTTGTTGCGCGGCTTGTTCAGAAGCACCAACATCGTCTGTGATCCAGGGAATTTGCTCTGAAGTTTTGCAGAACGCTCTCGCCTTTTTCATATCCTCCATTGAGGAGAAGGACATCTTTCAGTTTTTTGGAAAAGAAATTGTACAAATACAAGATTCTGCTGATAAATTTAATGAGCTGAAACAAAAATTTTCAGATGAAAATGAATCTCCGCTTATTGTACTATTCAAATTACGTGTTCTTAGTCTGTTTAGGATTTTCTTTCGTTATCCAAAAAATTTGCTTGCTGCTTGTTTTGATCTGTTCAACACTACTGCATCAGAGGGAGTTCAAAAAGGACTTTATTTTCTAAGCCAGTTGACAAGAAAGCTCGATCTTGATGAGACCCCTCCATTTGAAAATACTAGTAGTGAGCATAGACCGAGTACAAGTTCCATTGAAACACTCACCGGAGGCAATAAAGCCATTGGTGAGGAGCTTGTATCAGATGGCAACAATGTTTCTCCAGACGCATCGTCGGTTACAGACAACTGCTTCTTGGCACAGGTATTATTTAGGGTGGTTCTATGTCATTTACTTAAGCGGACATCCTAATATTTTGTGGCTAGGCTAGAATACTTTTTTTCGCTTTCGGGGTCAGAAAGTACTATTCTATTAATCAAGGATGGTGTCCATTTGCTCTCATCTTAGCTCACTAATTGCTTCCGTGACTGGATTTCTTTTTGAAATATCAGGTTCTTGGCAAAGATCCATCCTTTCGAAGTTGGATATTCTCAATGTATAATAAGATATCTAAAGTGTCATCTTCCAAAGCCTTTTCAGAGTTAAAATCTGTCATGAAAGGTATTGTTGAATCATTTGCGGAAATATCAGGTGTTGAAAACAATCGAGTAGACAGTCATGTTCGAGATTTTGATTTGTCTGAATCTTTCAGCCGATCGAATTTGGTTCCTGGTATCTCTTATCAGCATGAAACTTCTAGTGAAATGTCTGGTGTAGATACTAATACAAGAGTCCGTCGTCAATCCAGTGATGTTATTGTTGCTGAAATTGATTCAGTCCAATATTCGAGTTCTCGCAATGGAGCTAATGCCCACTTAATATCTGGCAATCAAGATAGTAGTGCTGTGAGGCCCATGGACTTTGGAACCGCAGAGCCTGGAGACATCAAGCATGGAAAGTCGTCTATGTCCAGGGATCCAATGATTCACCGAATGGTTTCACCTGTCAAAAGGACGCCATCAGAATTCCGGACTAACTCATTTGATGGTAGAAACCTTGCTGTCAATGTTGACAATAACCAAGTTACAAAAATGGACTTTTGGTCGCCCACTCTGAGATCTAGTGGAGGTGCAAGCAATCCTTTTGCGTCTCCTAAAAACCATTTGGGCACCGCTCCTCAAATTGTTTGGTATTCTGATGGAGAACCTGCAGCCATGGATGTTTTCTCTGCTTCCAGACAGCTCTGGGTGGGCCTTTTAGGACCCAACATTTCTGAAGCTCATCTAAGATTTGAACTCGAAAGGTTTGGTCCAATTGAACAATTCTTTTCCTTCCCGATGAAAGGGTTTTGTGTGGTTGAATATAGGAACACTTTTGATGCTATAAAGGCTCGGGATTATCTGCGTAGACATTTCCAATGTCGCATAAAGTTTATGGATACAGGGTTGGGTACTAGGGGTGTTATGAATGGTGTTGCTGTTGGTTCTAGTTGTCAAGTTTATATTGGAAATGTTTCAAGTCAGTGGGCAAAGGATGAAATTCTGCATGAGTCAAGAAAAGTGCTTTACAGGGGTCCTTCCATGGTTACTGATCTTAAGAATGAATGTGCATTGCTAATGGAACTTGAAACTCCTGAAGAAGCTGCTGCTGTAATGGCACATCTGAGACAGCATCGTAAGGAAAGAAGTAATCCTCCACAACCTCTTAACGGGGGACAAACTAATGTTCCACTCTGTCATATGGATGGTGCAAGATCTGCACCTACTCCTACACATGTTGATGTCGGAAACAACCATGGAAACATGTGTAACAGGTGTGATTTCCGTCATTTTCCTAACCTTAAATCTCCATTTCTTTCTTGTAGAAGTAGATTTAAAGTGGTCTTTTGGCCTCTATTGTCTTTGGATTTGTATTCTAGTACAAGTTCGTATACAGGTCCATATCTCTTCACTACTCATATCTAAGTTGCTTGATAATGAATTTCCAAGATTGCTGTCTCAAGTTAATGAGATCAACTACAGAAATATGTAAATTCTAAAATGGTACTTAGGAGTTGGGACTTGGGAGTCGGATGTATGTTACGTTTTTATTGTTTACACTGTAGAATCATGAATATACTGGTGTGGTTCTATTGAGACTTTGAATTAGTTAATCGTTTTCCTTACTGTATATTGCCTTGTTGTTTTGAGCAGTCAACAGAGAATGCACGTTTCTGCACCTTTCTCAGTGAGACCTGAAAGCCACTACATGGAGCTTGTATCTCCTAGATTAACATCAGAGAATCATGGGACTGCAGCACAAGGTGGACATCCAGTCAACAGAGCGGTGTCTGTTAGTAATGAGATGTCTGAAGTAGGTTCCAGAAAAATTGATGGTAGTGACGTGAACATGGTAGTGGATCCTTCACATGGAGGTAATAGTTTATCTCATAAGATATGAACTGGCACTTCGTATTCTGTCTCCAATCCCACTTCCTCTGATAAAGCAATTGGATGTTGAATGATTATGTTATCAGGTAGCCATGTTGTTTCTGGTGCAATGGAACAGAAGTGGATGTATACAAAACCTGAAATGGAGCTGCATCCTGCACCAGGGAGCGTTCCAAGCATTCATGTGGCAACACAAGGACCTCCCGTACCCCCTCCGCCACATATTCAGTCATCTCCCTTTATGCGACCCTCCTACCTTCCTCCGAATAGTTCTTGGGATTCACGGGGTTTGCATCACAATTTTCCGTTGAACCCGATCTCGCCAGTTGCAGTGCCTAATAATGTGCATGGTAATGCTCTTGCAGCTCCTTTTGTGCCAGCCTCTGTCACTCCACTTTCGCAAATACAGGGAACTCCAATGCAGCATTTTGACCCGACATTTTCGTTGCCCATGGTACCGCCACCACTCCCACCACCACCATTAACGTCTAACTCCAATGCAGCATTTTGACCCGACGTTTTCGTTGCCCATGGTACCGCCACCACTCCCACCACCACCATTAACGTCTTTGCCCCCTCCTCCCCCAGAGATACCACCTCCTTTGCCTCCATCTCCACCACCTTTGCCTCAAGTTCCTCCTCCACCTAGTTCTCCACCTCCACCTCCACCCCCACCTGTTGCAGAATCACTCCAAGTGGAAAGTTCAGGACAGTGTCCACAGTACCAGTGGCAAGGACAATTATGTAAAAGTGGGGTTCATTATTGCACAATTTATGCTCTGAGAGTTGATTCAGATGTTTTCAAGTATTCCAATGCCATGTCCGAACCTACAGAGTAAGGGCATTTTGTGTTTTGCTGCCATCAATTTTCCTTGAATCTGGTCTTTGTTTTTCCACCCTTTTCAAACACGGACAACATTCTGTTTACGTAAGTTTCCTGGTAATTTGGTGCAGATGGCCAGCCAAATTAGATATGACCAAACGGACAGACTTTCGGCATGTGCAGTCGACATTTACTAACACTCCACCGCATAAAGTGAGTATCATAACGTTCCCATCTGATCCCGCAATTATATTTCATCAATTTAAATGCGTTCTTGATGGATTTTTTTGGCTTGTAATGCAGAGGGAAATATGCAGACTCTTCCCATCTTCTCCCAACGACCATAAAGGAGTGAGTTATACTATTTCCATAAATTGCGTTGCAATATAGTTTCATTAGGTGGTTTTTGACCTCCTAGGCGTCCTTTGTCTATTTGCTATAGAACACGTTTCTGACATCTATTGCTTAGACTTTCATCAGTAATGTGTCTTAACAATTTTTGTTTCTGCAGTTTCAGGATTTCATATCATACTTGAAGCAGAGAGAATGTGCCGGCGTGATAAAGATTCCAGCTTCGAAATCGATTTGGGCAAGGCTGCTCTTCATCCTTCCTTACTCACTTGATGTGTGCTCTATGCTCTCAATTCCACCTAGTACAACACCAGATTGTCTCGTTGCTTTGCTTTTGCCCAAAGAAACAAATTTTGAATGGGTATAATACCGTGACAAATTAAAATTTGAGCGCGTTCTTGAGGCCTAAATTTCTTGTTTTGTACTCTAGCGCATTGCAATTTTGACAGTCCGTTGTAATACGCGGGCTTTTGTTTAGGTATGGGCACATAAGTGGTCAAGTGCTGAATTTTGTTGTGTATATATATAAGGGTTAATTTCAATAATAACACTCCTGAGAAAATGATTATTAATTTTAGCACCATTTTTTTATACTTTCACAATTAGTATCACCATGCCAGTAAAAGTGAGATTAAGTTATTTTTATTTGAGTTAAAATAATAATTGTGCCCCATTTTAATTTTAAAGCTTTGAATATATATTATAAAGCCTTTTATAATTTAAATATTCAAAATAGAGAGAGGAGGAGGAGAACCAATGTGGTTGTGCGCAGAGACCAAGAAATCCTAACGACCACTACCGTTTTTGCCGGAGAAATCAACCACGAAACAGGCGAGGTCAATGGCGGATTTCAAGACAAATGTAAAAACTTTGTTGGCTTTTCTTGTTTATTTGTTTTTTTTAGGTATTTATTATTTTTTTTTCTTTTACCATTTTTTGTCATCTTAGAAGAAAAAAAAAGCTTTGGAAGAGGAAATAAAAGCATATAAGGTCAGTTATTTGAAATTTTTTGTTGTCATTGTACTCCTTATTTGGTCTGACTCTGCTTGATGGCCAGTCATATCATTATGACCGATCAGTAGTTGTATTATGACCGGTCATAAGACAGGCACAGCGTGCAGTCATAGTACTATGACCGGCCATCAAGCAGGCAGACTCATAGTGTGATTCTTGACTGATGAGCCTGCGGTCATAGCATTATGACTGTCGATCATAGTACCGTAACCGCACTATGTGAATGTCTTATGACCGGCCATCAGTCATAACACTATGAGCGAGTCTGCATGATGGGCGGTCATAGAATTATGATCGTCGGTCATAGTACTATGACCGCTCAATGGTCAGGCTCTTAGTGTGCCAGTCATAATACTTTGGTTAACAACTTTGTTTGCTTTTCTTGTTTTTTTGTTTTTGTATTTATTGTTTTTTTTTTACCATTTTTTTGTTATCTTAGAAGAAAAGAAAGGCTTTGGAGGAAGAGATGTCGTTGATAGAATGTGACATCATAGTTAGACGATATATTCACAGGAGCTTCCCCGTCTTTAACAACATATCTTAAGGGCAAACTTTTTCCTTGTACTTAATGAAGACGTTCAATCCAGCAACCTTTCCTAAATAATTTCAAAAACAATTACTATTAATCAACATGCAATTACTCCTAGTTGTCATCGAGTCATTAGAAATAGCCAGTCATAACACTGTGTAATGGCCGGTCATAAGGCAGTCATAGTGTGCCAGTCATAACACTATGGGTTATTTCGGACGGTCATATCACTATGACTGCCTTACGGTAATAATATTATGACCGGCCATTTTGACTCATATTGTTATAATTTAACTGACTGGTCATAGTATTATGACCGGACATATGACACTATGAGTCATAATACTGTGACTCCCAAGGTCAACTATGTCTTTGACGTGTTGGTCGTTACAATCAGTTTACATATCAGTTATAAACAATCCAAAATCTCAAATTAACGAAGGATATTTTCAATTCCTATCACATTAAGTTTAACCCGGTCATTTTTTTCAAGTTCTATATACTAAGTCTCCCGAAAATAAATTTAAAAAGACAAAAGTAAAAGAAAAACAAAAAAAAAAAAATTGTGTACCAACCTCAATCTGTGCACAACCGGAATAAGGGCGTAGGGAAGAGAGAGACCAAGTAGAGAGAGAGGCCAAACTTGAGAGAAAGAGAGATAGAGAGAGCTGAAAATGGGGTGTAGAGAGAAAGAATGGACGGGAGAGAGTTGAGAGTTTCTTTGAGGTGCTTTTAAATGATAATTTTGAACTAAGTGGCATAAAAGTCATTTTACCTCACACTGCTGACATGACAATACTAGTTGTGAAAGTATACAAAAATAGTGCTAAAATTAATAATAATTTATTCAAGAGTGCTATCATTAAAATTAACCCTATATATAATCTATAACTACATATTAAATCTGAATGTGTTTACTGTGCACTAAGACACAATTTACTGTTCCTTAAGACACAAAATCAGTATTCAAACTTTAGTTAAATTATTTTGTCCTTTTGCGGTTTTTTTCCCTCTCTTTTCTCGGTTAGAACAAGTAATCCGGTGTGGTTGGGCTTACTAAAACAACACGCATAATAACTATATATTAAAATCTCAATTGCTTACTGTGCACTAAGACAATTTACTGTTTATCAAGACACATCCCGTTCATTTAATTGATTCGAGTTGAAAATTTAAGTTTTATTATAGTAAAAAAACTTTTAAAAATAATTATATTTAATTTTTTTATTACAATAAAAAGTTTTTTTATAAAGTCATATCTCAATTTAAATTAACGAAGTAAGTGGACAAAAAATTACTGTTTAAACTTTAGTTGAGTTATTCTGTCTTTTTGTGGCTTTTTTTCTCTAATCCCATGTGGTCGGGCTACTAAAACAACACGTGTCGCGAGTGGATCGGTTGTTCACTAAAGTGGATCCACGTGGCAAGCTTCGGTTAGTTCATTGACATTCCTCACCATGTATCAGCATCTGATTAAAGGAAAAAAAGAATCCCATGTAGGAACAAAACACAAAATCCCACGAAGCTCATAAGTAGTCGATCCACCACGTTTCGCGCTGTGATTGGTAAATGAGAAAGTGGCGGGGCCACTTGTTGCGCGTGGTGACACGCGTGCCCCCTGCAGTACGCATTGGAGCCGTTAACTTTTTTAATCTGGCGGCTTGAAAATATTTCCGGTTTATTTTTTTATTATTATTTACTTATTTATTGTTTAATTTTGTTCATTTTGGTACGTTTTGCACTAGATTTCTGACATTACTCAGATAAAAATACTATAAACAATAAAATTAAATTAAACTAAAATACTCTAAAATAAAATAAAATCACACCAAATTAAATAAAACAAAATAAAATTAATTTAAAACCCAACTAGTTAAAAAAAATTTCCTATGTCATCGCTTAATATTTTTTCCCGGTATTGTTTTCATTTCTTTTAAGTTGTTTTTTTAAACTTCTTTCTCTTTAAAAAAAAATAATTTGTATAGCTTTTATTTTTAATTAATCACACCCGCGTACCGCACGTTAACACTACCAAAAAAAAAAAATCTTGTGAATGTTGATAAATCTATATAATCTTGTTGATAGATTTATTAAGATACGCTTGTTTCTTCAAAGTAATAGGGTTATTTATTAAACAAAAAAAAAACGAAACAAAAAATGATGGAATTTACTACAACCATGAACACTTTTTCTTATTTTTTATACGTAAAAAGTAACGCAACAACCAAGTTATAAGTTAGATATTGTTGAACATAGACCTATCACGGTTCATTAGGCTTTAGTGGCCGCACGTGCTCAGTTAACAGAATAGTTTTATCTCAAGTCGTTTTCCTAATATATTTTATATATTTATCTTCCTTAATATTTTTTGTTAATCACATTTGTTCTATGCTTACTTGCATCCAATAGAGGCCATTTATAGATTATCATTTTTTTTTCTTCTCATGGCTCTTTACGGGGAAAAAAAAAAAGAAAAGAAAAAAGAAAAAAAAGTTTTTCTCATGGTGTTTAGATGTTGATGAATATGATATTTTTGTAATCTTAGGATAATTAGGATTTATATTTTAGTTTAAATTTTTTATTTTAATCTTATTTTGAGTTTATCATTATCATTCATATTTTAATTTAGTTCTTGTTCTATTATGATTATTAGTTTTAGTCGTATTAGAGTCAAACAACAAAAAGCTATAAATTAGATACTTCATGACCTTATTATGGCATCATTCAAGAAAAGTTGAGTCTTTTAAAATTTTGTTTTTGAGGGATGGAAAAATGATGTTAATCATATTTGTTCTATGCTTACTTGCATGCAATAGAGGCCATTTATAGATTATCATTTTTTTTTCTTCTCATGGCTCTTTACGGGGAAAAAAAAAAGAAAAGAAAAAAGAAAAAAAATTGTTTCTCATGGTGTTTAGATGTTGATGAATATGATATTTTTTTAATCTTAGGATAATTAGGATTTATATTTTAGTTTAAATTTTTTATTTTAATCTTATTTTGGGTTTATCATTATCATTCATATTTTAATTTAGTTCTTGTTCTATTATGATTATTAGTTTTAGTCGTATTAGAGTCAAACAACAAAAAGCTATAAATTAGATACTTCATGACCTTATTATGGCATCATTCAAGAAAAGTTGAGTCTTTTAAAATTTTGTTTTTGAGGGATGGAAAAATGAAGCTTAATTAGCTATTAAAAGCAACTTCCATCAGTTCGAGTGTTCCCGTGGAAGAGGATATCATTCCTTATCGCTGATGGAAGTTGCTTCTACAAGCTCATCTAACTTCAAATTTCAGTTTTAAGTTCTTTGTTTTTTTTTTTTTTTTTTTTTCCCTTTAATCGTCGTTTTTATGGGTTTAGAAGTAAGGATGTTTGGAATCTATAAACTGTGAATGAATGATTGTAAAACTATTTCTGTAGAGATTCTTTAATGGATATACTAAAGAATTAACTTTCCCCTCCTTTTTGTGAACAACTTTTTGTTTAAGCTTCTTGTACGTTTGGAATGTTAGTGTCTTTTTCAGGAATATTATATAGTTGTATAAACGAGACGGTAGATTTTATGCAATGGTGTCGTTTTAAAGTCATTGTCGTTGCTAAGAATAATTAATATGTAGAAGAAGCAGAAGAACAAAATTTTTTCCATCCATGATTGTACATGAAAATTTATACCTGCACTACTTGTATTTGTACTATTCCTGTATCAAAGAGTTTGGTTTCATGATTCGGAATCCGTTTAAAAAGTAATACTAAAACATATAACCAATAATCATGTTAATGGATTTCGAGCAAAAAAAAAAAAAAAAAAATTATCATGATAATGGATTACAACCAACAAGTTCTCTCTCTTTCTCTCTCGTGAGTCTTTTCATGGTACGCAGATTAGTGAACTTGTGTGTATTATAACTGGAAGATTTTAATTTTGAGAATCTCTTCTTTATATTGTAAAGAAAAATCTAGGTTGAGTATGCTTCGTTTTTTTTTTTTTTTTTTTTTTTTTTTTAAAAAACAGCATCTAAATGTCAATGTT